GAGCCACAGATTCTGTGGGAGCTGTCACTCGGATATTTTTTTTTTTTGGTATGGTGATCGAACTCGGGACCTTGGGTTTGCCAGGCAGGCAGCGGCACCACTGAGCTAAATCTCCAGGCCCTGTCACTCGGATTTTACAATCAGTTCAGATACGCGCTCTGGCTTCAACCTGCGGTAGCACAAACAAGTGTCACCTCGGTGTCTGCTGCAGTGCATACAGCCAGCTCCCTTCCAAGCAGGGTCTTGCTTGATTTGTCCTGAACCCAATAGAGGGAGGCTTCTCAAAGTGGGGTCAGGGTGACTGGGAGTCAATACTCAGTCTTCTGGAGGCAGAGCAGGGAAGGAAGAGGAAGCCTAAGCAGATTCAGCGACAGACCTAGCCAAGGGCAGCCCACCCCAGCCTCAGCCCTGACTGCGTGCACACTCCGCTCCTGAGTCTGGGGCAGTGAGACCCCTCCCTCCCCTGGGGGTGGCTGTCCTCAAGAGGAAACAGGCACTGGCTCTCAGCCTCCAGGGAGGGGTGCACCGGAAGCTGGGAGATTCCCTCTTCCTCGCCCTAGTCAGGGCTCCCACCTGCAGTTTGGGCTGGGAAATGTGGTCTCTTCAGGGCTCTTTTGGTGACCTGAAGGCCATTTTATGTGCCCAGGAAGTAGCTGTAGTTCCACACCCTTGCTGCCCGGTCACATGCAGCATGAGGCCAGTCAAGGGCCCACGGGTGAGCCCAGCTACTCCAAGAGGCTGAGGCTGAGGCAAGAGAAGCACAAGTTCCAGGCCAGCCTGGGCAACTCAAGGAGTCCCTGACTCAAAATCAATGAGAGAAGAGCATTCATTTTCAGTATGAGGAAACATCCCGCCTCACAGTATGGACAATGTGAACACAGCGGCCCCTCTCAGAGCAAGGTGCCAGTCCCAGGGATGACAGATACACTGCTGTCTCAATGACGCTGCACTGCTTTCCACTGACTGGTGCTTACCATCAGCTGGCCCTTCCACACGCCCACACCTACAGCGCAACACAGATACTACCAGACTGGGAGAAAGAAGGCCGCCTCAGAAGGGGCATCGTGTCACCTCAGAACTCCTCTCTGTACCCTCTAATGTCACTGGCCACCACCTGCTGAGGGCTGCGATGACCCGTGCACTCATCCACTCTGCTCACTGCAGACCCCAAGAACAGTGGGAGTGTGTGTGTCTCTCTATACCAATGAGGTACCTCAAACAGAACAGATGTGAAGTAATTCAGAGGCAGAATGTTAAGGGTGGGGATTCAGAGAGCTTGCTTAGTGTGCATGAGACCCTGAACTAAATCCCCAACACCAAAACCCTCAGGTAGATACACAGTGTTGCGAGTAGCAGTCCCCTAGCACTCCCAGATCAGTGCCTTCGGAATTGGACATAAACCAGTGCACACTGGGCCCACACACTGTCGCAATCATGTTCTCTGAAAATAAGTAATCTACCCGTTCAGTAGACACGACAAGTCTCTGCCAGAAAACCTGCTTTCTGATCTTGTCAGATAATAACATGGATAACTGTGTGTTGCAACTGAATTCGATCAACGTGGCAAACCCAGAAAGATTAGCACCTCTGTGCACCAAGACCGTGCTCTTGTCAGCCCTGCAGCCTCCAGGGAGCCGTCAGCACCATCTCCTGCCTGAAAGCACTCACACATCCTTTGGCCTACAGGCCCCTTGCAGCCACTGAAGTCATCACATGTTAGTCCGAGTGGCCCTAATCTGTCCCTCCTACTCTGTCTGAACAGGGGGTGAGCCCAAGTCCTTGCCCTGCCTCAGACAAGCTCAATCCCAAGACACAGACACAAGGAAGTTTCCCTTCTCATCTGCAGGAACACACAAGACTGCACTCCTACCCGGATCTGTTTGGAATGCTCCCATTCCAGTAAACTCCTACTCATCCTGTGAGACTAGACCAGGTATCACCTTCTCAGGAGAGCCTGCTGTGTCCACACCAAGCAGCCCAGTCTAGATGCTTCCGCACCTCTGCCGTCCTCACCTCTGGGAATTCCTCTGCCACATCTCAGTGCCATCTTGTCATTATTCCCATTCATTGAACCCTGGAGGCAGAGTCCCTCAAAGAGTAGTTAGAAACAGCTGGGTCAGAAATACATATTCTGGGGCTTTGGCCCAGAACACGGAATCTACATTTTAATGCAATTAGCTCCACTCTCAGGTGATTTTTATGATTCTGAGACCAGCGCCAGAGTATACTCTCCTGGGAAATAAAGACCCTGTGTCTTTGCAGCCATCATGCCCGGCCAGGCTCATTACATGGTCAGTCGTGTGGCCACCACTCAGCAGACTGCAAGTGCGACCATCTCCCACGAGCAAATGCAAGGGGAAGTGTGGGGAACACGCAGTGTCTCACCCTCCGCCTGGGCAGCTTAGAGAGGAGTCTGCCTCACCTAGAACCACGCGGTGGTCCTGCTCCGTCCTCAGACACTGGAAATGTCACCGAAGCAGGCAGAAAAATCCAGACTCTGGAAAAGACCCAGGTTTAGCCACTTGCCAGCCCAATTATTTAAATACAGGATGAACAAAAATTGCATTTTTCCATTAGTTTTTATAAAATAACAGGAAATACACAAACGACAATTTTATCAAGTTTATCCAATACAAACATCAACTGGGTGAAAGGATGCCAGCCAGAACACCTAGCCACACAGACAGTGCACAAACGACTCACTGCCGAGTGGAGCTCTGGGTAAACTGGTAAGTGGTGAAAAATAAGAACAAAATAAAAAAAACTCTAATTACTATTTCTCTAGCTAAATGAGAAACTTTGGGAAAGTGACTTACCTTTTGTAATTTCTGCCTAGACCTCTGTGACAAGACTGACAAGAGAGTTGTGACAGAGTAGAAAAAAAAATAAATGAAAGCATATACATGAAGACCATATTCATACAGTGTGTGAGAGAGATTCTTTGAAAACAGAATTATCACCAAGTAATCTTTAGAAGACTGACTCCAATAGTTACACCATCAGACAAAGAAATGCTGGAAGAATACAAAATGGTACCACTGAGAACACTAAAGTTCACACAGGCAAGGTTTAAGGTCACAGAACCACAGGGCTGGAAGGGCCTTCAAGGGCCCTGGGGTTCGGACGTTGGCCTCAGGACGCAGCAGCTGCAGGTCTCCAGCAGCTCTCAGGAAGAAAGGAGGAGGAGACTCACGCTCTCCTTCAGCTGTGACCCATCACTGAGAGGCGAAGGACGGACGTTACCCGCAACACTGTCCGGCCTTCATCTGCCTGACCTCAGTGTCCCTGGGTCCCTGGACTGTCGTCTACAAGAAGTGTCCGTTTGCCCATGACAACCACCCCGACACAGCCCTGAGTGTCTGGATTGGAGTCCGCCCACAGCCTCACTTAGCCTGACAGCAGTTTGTTTTTGCGGTACTAGGGATTGAACCCAGAACCTTCACACTGAGCAATGTCATCAGCCCCTTTTTTATTTTTTGAGACAGGTTCTCCCTAAGTTGCTAAACTGTCCCAGTTGATTGTAAACTTATGATGCTCCTGCCTCAGACTCCCAGAGTGCCGGTAACAGGCGTGCTGTGTGCCATCACTCCTGGCTTGAGGAGATGTGGGGCTGTGAGACACAGCCACCTTCTACAAGGCCCCTCAGTCGAGATGAGGAATAACACCTTGGTGCAGTAAGGGGCAGTAAGAGGTGGACACCCCGGGCACCTGCCCACCTCTGCAAAGGGACAGCTCTACAGCTCCCAGTGGCCTTTGCACCTCAGGAATGAGCAGGTACAAGGCATAATTAGTGTTTACCGAGGACCTGCACTCTGCCAGAAAAGGTGCTCATGTTTTACACTCGATCTTTTGTGAAATCTTTTTCAAGAAAGTGCTATAATCTACATTTCCAAAAAGGGAGAGCACAGGGACTTCATGGCGCAAGGGTAGCACATCTGACTCCAAAATGGGGGAGGTTGGGTCTGGATGCAGATCCCCCCTCCCCATCATGGTCACCTCTCCTGCCCGCCGATGGCTCACGGTGAAAGACAGCTTTCCTTGAGGGGCCGAAGTTTGCTCAAAATGGGGCTGCCACTCTCCACTGCCTCAAAAGCATGCTCTGAAGATTCAGAGCAACTTGCTTTCCAAAGAACATCGGGCAATGATGAGCTCACCTAGCACCTTCCCCCAGGAAGCAGACTGGCCATCCCTCCGTGGCTTCTGTTCTGGGCTCGGGTGGCTTTCCTCACCCTGGACAGGCAAAGCGGGTGTGTGCACTGTCCTGGGCCCCACTGCTGGTTCCAGCTCCACATTCCAATACAGATGGGCCTCTCAGGCAAGGGGTGGGGTGCTGGCTCTCGGGAGCCCTGGAACAAATAGTTGGCAGCAGCTGTGTTCTCGGAGGACAGCAGTGGCTGGGCCCCTGCTACTGTTTACTCCTTCCAGGCTGGGTTACCAGCTGTAAGTCAGTGCCCCAACCTTGAAGGCCGGTGGCTCTCTATGAGATCAAGCCTCCCACAGGGGTCGGATTGGTCAGTGGGGCCCAACAGGGGCCAGTTCCACAGCCCACCCCTCAGGCATCCAGGATGTCTGAGCCACACAGCCAGGGTGGCACACTTGGAGGGAAGAAAGCCTTCAGCCCTGCCCTTACAGAATACAGCCCCACTCTGCCCTCAGCCCAGGCCCTCAGAACAGACAGAAGGGATCTTGCTATCTCTCCAAACTGTGGCAGGAGGAGAGGCCTGACTTTTCAGCTATTTCTTCCACAAAGCTTCACAAGTGGTTTTATGGAAAATCAGACTGGGCAGCTTCAGTGTGACCTCAGGAACACAGGGGGGCTATGAACATGGCGGCTCTAGAGGTCAGGAACAGCCAGCAAGCAAGGAGAGAAGGCTGGAGACTTGGTGGAGCTGGCCTGTCAGGACTTCAGACGCGTTCTAAATCCTTCCTTCCACAAAGCAGGTGTAAACAGCTCCCACCCTCCTTCCCCTCCCCAGCCCAACCACAGAACAGTGCGTTACCTGTCTAAGACCCAAAAGGAAAGGCATCCTGCAGGAGCATCATCATCCACACTACTGTGTTTGGAACAGGACTCTTAGAAGGGACTGTCTGGGATAAGCAGGGGCCCTGGTGGGCTCTGCTCGGCACTCCCACTTAACCACCCTCCCGGCAAAGGAGAGTAAGTAAACAGTCCTGAGACTGGGCAGGCGGCTCCCTCCACTCTCCTCACTGTCCCCCGCCTGGCTCCGACCCGCCCCGACTTCTCGTCACACATCTCAGACGCAGCGCAGCCCAAGCTGTCTGCCAAGGGGAAATGACTTCAGTTCAGTTCAGGCACAGCAGACAGCTGCTGGGGACACTGAGGAGGACATGCTGCAAATCCACAGTGCCGGCTGGCCTGAGCCCCCTCCACCAGCTCCCAGCTGAGCAGACTCTGCACATAAATCAAGTCTAGGAACTGAAAAGAACTGTACTATGAACAGGACTGCGCTACAGCTCCAAGCTATTGTTTCTCTTCCTCAGGAAAGAAAACCAGGCCCTGTGACAATCAGTTTCACAGAAGCTTTCCCACCCCTGGGCCAGAGTGCACAACAGCACATTAAGCTCGGCTGTCCCCACCTTCTCTAGCAAAAGAGGCATCAGCAGGCAGGTACCTGGAGAGGCTACTTCATCACTAAGGTCACCTGGCTCCCTTGGGTGCTGGCCTCCCCGGCCCTCAAGCGATAGGAGAATTTGTACTTCATAAACAAACTCCGCACAAACAGGCGCCAATGTCTTTCCTCACTTGTCTTACAAAAGGTACAACAAGTCCCACTGCAGCTTCCAAGCTGCCAGGAAAGCAGATCGGCTATATTTAAACCGATTCCAGCTTTAGAAAAGTTCACCCCATAGGTTTGTTGCACTTGCTTCGCTAGGTCCAGTTCACAGAGAAGAGTGTTCTCTGACAGCAGCTCCGGCAGACACAAAGGCCTGGAGCTGGTGACCTGGCCTGACCCTGGGGGAGGAGCCGAGTCTCCTCAGGCCCCCTCCCTCCAGCAGCGGGTCACAGCAGCTCCCAGGCCCCAGCCCCACCCCAGAGACCACATGAGCAGAGGACCAAAAGATTCCTGTCTGGATATGGATTTGCAGGCACGCCTCCGTGAGTGCGTGTGCGCGCGTGTGTGCTGGAGCTTAAATTCAGGGCCTTGTACTCACGAAACACACACATTGGTAAGCTACACCTCCAGCCCAGAAATGCTTTTTTTTGTGTGTGTACCGGGGATCACTTGTGAGGCAGGCAGCGGAATCAATGAGCTACATCCCCAGCCCTAAAAATGATTAAGGAAAACAGTCTTCACAGGAACTTGACAAATCCAAAGTTACTTTCTAATAACATCTTCAACTAAAAATTGTTTTTTCAAGACTCAAAGAAGCTCATTCACCTTTATTTTCATTTTCTGCAGTAATATTTTTTCAGTAACATTCATCAAAGGCCTGCGGGCAGTGGCACTGTGCTGGGCATGACTCATCTAAGTCAGAAATGACTCTGGCAAATTAGTGTCTATGCCCCCACCTAGGATAATAAATTAGCAGTGCACAATGCTTGGAGCACAGCGCGGTGCTGAGAGAACTTCCCGATTATTAGAATCTGGCCAGACACACAAAGTGCTTGCTGCAGGTCACCGCCATGGTCTAGGTCACAGCGACTTTCCTGACAGGAAGACAAATGCACCAAGCCAGCGGAGCCACCTTCTCGAGGCTCCTGGAAGAACAGGCTGTAGCCTCAGTGGCCCGTGGAAGAGGAAAGGGCTGAGGTGTGCAGAGAAGTGGCTCCTGCAGGTGTTTGGGCCTGGGAGCCTTCTTTAGCAAGTAAGATATGATTAACGTGTGGCCAGACGGTCTGGCCCAGGCCCTCACACACAGGCCGAGTGCTAGACAGACGAGGCTGGCTTCGGACACAGCTGCATGGAGCAGGGCTTTTCCAACCCCTGCTGATTTTCTCCATTCCCTGGCAACCCCTGGAAGCCAGAAAACGTGCGCAGCGCTCTTCACTTTGGCAAGGGAACTGGAAGAGAGAAGTGCTCAGCCCCCACGGCACCTGTAGCTCTCCAGAGCAGGCCCATTCATTCCTTCCACACTCACTGGATGCCTGGGGGTGTCCAGCTCATTCTCTGCACTGAGGGGACTGCCATGCCGAGACACTCCAAAGACCTGCTTTGATGGGCCCCGAAAGTGGTTCAGTTTCTAAACAATATTCATTAATGGTGATCTCAGAAGACACGAGACTGTAACGATGTCATTAAAATTTGTTTTAATGTGTGAAAACTCAAAACACAATGATCACAATCGCATCACAGACTTCTCCCAGTGAGTCATCCTCTTGTGGATGCTACTCAAGACAGTGTTTCTAGTCAGCCGTCTGGTTTTATCTTCTTGAGATTATAAACTCCGAGTGCAGGACACTGTTTAACCTAAAGCATAACCACTGGTACAATAACCACATCATCTACAAAAGTGGCTGCTGACCACAGCTTCTTCCTCCTACCCCACTTCTCACCGCAACAACTGCTGAGGAACCTTCCGGCGGTCCAGAGGCGAGGCCAGGGAGAGGCTGAATCAGCAAACTCAGTCACTTCCGGGGAGAGGAGCCAAGGAGAAAAGGAGCTCACTTTCTGCCATGCCCTAGAAATATCAATACTATCACAACCAGTGACAAAGTATTCCACCGCAGGATTTAGGAGGCAAGATGATCACTAGCCTCTTCTGCTAGCCTGATGGGGCGGGAGGGAGATGCTTTTATATAAGTGATCCAGGCTCAACCATGATGGAACAAAGTTAGGGCAAAATCTTCAGATAATTTTGACCTTCTACCTACCATTACATAATTAGACTCATGCTAAATTTACCAGGAAAGAAAGAGAAAGAAAAATAGATAGATAATCTGGATGTTGCAGATTAATCACTGTTTATGGTCACAATCTTCCCAGGTCAGAGAAGCTGTGAGACCCTAACTTACTCTCTAAGAAGACCTGCTGTCACACACACTCACAGAGTTTACACTTCCCTGTAGTCGATTTAAATACTTCTTGACACTCTCCAGGTAGTCTACACATTTCTCATCTTTACATTCTGGAGTGAGGGTGAGGAAAGTATTTTCCAACACTGACCACACACGCCTGTGGAACTCCATCTGACCAAATCTTCCGCACTACACAACCACCCTGCATAGGCTCAGCAGCAGAAATCAGGGCATAAGGAGCGCAGAATTTGACCAGGGCCACACGGCTAGCAGTGGGAGAGTGAGGAGTCAAATGGAGCCTCTGGCTCTGAAGGTTCTCTCCTTTATGATGATAAGGAATCAGAGAAATTAGTACTAAGATAAAACCCAAACACAGGGTCAGGGGTGTGCTGAGCAGACACGCAGGTCCCAGGTGGGTGCTCCAGATCCTGTTTTTTTTTGTTGATTTTTTTTGTTTTTGGTGCTGGGGATTGAACCCAGCACTGAACTATAAGCCTAGTCTTTTTTATTTCTTGAAACAGGGTTTCCCTTAAGTACCTAGGATGGGCTTGAATTTACAGTCCTACTTCAGCTTCCCAGAGTGCAGTGATTATAGGCTTGTACCACCACGCCAGGATCCAGAACATAAAGGCTGCAATTCCACCACGAGTGACGGTGTACACCTGTAATCCCAGCACTCGGGAGGCTGAGGCAGGAGGATTGCTGCAAGTGCATGATACACAGGGAGTTCAGCCAGCCCACATAGCAAGGCCCTGTCTCAAAAAGAAAAGAAAAAAGACTGCCACTTTCACTCCAGGGAGCTGTGCTGTTCTGCAGTGGAGTCAGGGCCTGAGGCTGCACTTGGACAGCAACCCTAGGAGGTAAAGACTGGGAGAGCAAACAGCGCTCCTCTTCCAGCACAGAGCGGAGCCCCACACAGCAGGCTCGAGCCCCTCCTCAGCCTGGGCTCTCAGGTGCCCTGGGAATTGTTTCTACATCTACAGCATCTGGCCCACTGAGACTGGAGACAGCTAGGGGTTGTGGGCTAGCACATCTTATTCTACAATCAAGGAACCCGGAGAAAGAGGATATTGTCAGAACAAGACGGCAACTGGCAGGCTTCTAGGGCAGGAGCTCATCTCTAGACCAAAGGCCATTTATGTCCAGGAACTTTGAGACAAGCCTGCTATGCAAAACAGAATATCTAAGATAAACTTATCTTTCTTGGGTTTGGGCACACTCACTGAAATGCCTTAGAATTCTGGCAGCTGAGTGGGGTGGCCTATGCCTAGAATCCTAGCTCTTGGGAGGCTGAGGCAGGAGGGTTGCAAATCCAAGTCCCACCTGAGCAATTTAACCAGACCCTGTCTCAAAATAAAAAATGGATTTGGAATGTAGTTTTATGGAAATATCTTTCCAGCTGTATTTTCCCCCTTTGGTACTAGGGATTGAACTCGTGCTTTTGAGGCAGGCACGGTGCCACTGAGATACATACCCAGTCCTCTGCAGCTATATCTTGAATGGCTGGATATGACTACAAAGATCAGGTCACAATTGAGGAAGTGACGATTCTAACTAATGTCAGAGTGCTATCTCCACATGTGTCCCTGGGTGGGAACTAACTCAAAACCTAAAACAATGTGTGTCCCACAATAAAAGTTAAACAGAGACATCTTCCTGTCATGAGCATGAGGCTACACATCAATAAAAGGATCCTGAAGTCATGAGTCTGGGGAACGTTTTGGGCTGAATTCCAAATCCAGACGAAGACCTGCAGAACCTTTCCAAGCACAAACACAAAGGACCACTCTGCTGCCAGAAACCAAAACTTCTCGCTCATCCATTCAGGGCTGGACCAGGCAGGTGCACAGCAGGCCTGCGGAGGAAGACACACACAGCCTCTTTGTTTGTGAGAGGATGAGGGTTCCAGGAGTCATGGGCTTGTTCCCTCTGCAAGGCACCCACAAAAGCATGAGGCCACTTTCCAGCCACAGCATCTTCAGAGGAGAGGCTGGGCCTAGTCCTGAGCTGTCACCGCCTGCTGAACCTCAGGCAGCGTCAGAGGGGGCTTCAACAGATAATGACACCTCACATTCTGGGACAAAACCCTGAGGTTTGTGGGGCTCGTTAGCTAATTCAAGGGTGCGCATGTCAGCCAGGTGAGCCAGCCAGTGCTGCAGCCAGCCTCCG